CTTCTTCTATTGTGACGTCCCGTTCGAGCTTTCAAGTATTACGTTTCTTATTTACTTCGTAGGAAGATATTGCTGGCCTAGAATGCACTATGAAAAGGCAAAGCGCAGAAAATCATAATATACGTAGTCATAATGAACGTACTATTGTACGAACTATTCCAACGAAAGGTTACAGGGGTATATAGATCGTATGATCGCCCCACGGTGTAAACCAAACTTCGTGCACTTCAGTTGGGGAAAATGCAAAAAATTGATATTCTTTAGATGATCTCCTCTTCCCACATTTTACCATGTTATTAATATATTATTGAAAGCGATCGTTTCGCTTTCTGACATGAATGCCTTTTCTGGCAGCAAGCTTCGCTTTAACCTACATGTACAATTTATAATTAATAAAGCAAAAAAACAGCTGGACTTCATAACATTATCCTCATGCAACGGAAATGTTGTTCATAAGTCTATCAGACTCGTTTTTGAATGTGCCTCAATAGTTTGGTGCCCAAGTTAACAATGCTGGGCTGTAATTCCACGCACTCTCTGTCATTTTCATTTTAGATAATACCATCTTCTGAACTATAGAATAGATGCAACGGTCTTCTTAATTGCAATTCACACGAGAATGTCTCGTTGCGTAACACGCCAATTTCGTGTAATTAAACTTAATCAATGTAGACTCACATTTATGAGGTTTCGCACGCTTTGTGACATGATTTGCTTTACCTATCCGTGCCGCTTAGTATAGTAAAAGTTCCAAGATCTTTAATTTACAAATAAAGGGGAGCCAAAGTGCTTATCATATGTCAATATTTACAATTTTTTATGCTTATATTAGTTTCTTGTTTCTTTTACTTGTTTATGTAGTATACACATAGCACATTTCTTTTTATTATATAACAACATATAAATTCTCTACTAACTTGTCATTCTATAAGCTCTACTTGTTGCATTCGATTTCCACGAAATTTCATGTACAGATAACTTAATTATTACAAGCTATCGTTCGGTGAATATCATTGTGTAAAGAGATAGATGTTACTTACGACACTAGGTTTTTTTTTCAATTTTCAACTGAGTTAAATTGGAAAAAAGGCAGCTGAAGGTACGAGTATAATTAAGTTACCTTGGAGTGAAAACACAGTAAGATATCAAAGAGTTAGAAATTGGTTAGCGAGACTTTGTGCAAAAATTTGTAATTTTAAAAACAAAGAAAATCGGCATACCTCCGTCCGTCGCTAGTGAAAGCGACCCAGGAACTGATCATGAATTTGGGTTGAGAGTTTTCTCCGCGTACGCGTCTTTCAGATCGATGCAATCATATTTAACAGCTCAGCGGTCCACAGAAGTTGAACATGGGTCGATGAGTATTTCGCCGCGAAACAGACGAGGGCATCCTTTAGTTATTCAATAAGCTGCAAAAGATCACAGGTGATGATGGCGGTTCCATCGATTACCAAACCTTCTAACAAGTATTTATAACATTATTAGCATACGATAATACGCATGAAAACAAACAAATTCTGTTCTTCTCTATTTTAATGTTAGTTAAAGTTCCGAAAGTGACTAATCAGTATGAAGTGAAATGACTAAGTAAATAAATAAAAATAGATGAGTGAATTTTCCACCATGACGCAAAGATCGATCGCATGTGCGAATAACCATTTAGAAGGGATTGGCATGTTTGAACTGCCTTGTGGCACCTCCATGGCTTGCCACCAGGTACTCTAGCTAGCGATACTAATTGAAAAGTGTCTTAGTACGTTTGCCTGCGTTTGTTTGTTGATAAACTCGAGAGCACAGTTGTTTGTTCTTTCGACTCGAAATTCATATACTAGCAGAAAGACAGGAAAAGAAGAGACTAACGATAAGCAGTACTTGAAATGAAACATTCTTTCTATTCGATTTCGTCGGGAAATATCTCAGAACTAAATGATACACGTCGCGCGCATACGTACATATATATACGTATAAAAAGTGCAAACGCAGTAAACATTTAAAACCAGTTTCTCTACAACGTGAAGTTAATTTCAATTTAAAGCCTTTTAAGTAAGTGAAAGGAATTATCATTTTATATGTACATAATAGTGCGCCCAAGTCGTTGTCCATCTAAGCCTGCCATTTTGTTCTAGTTTTCTTGTTTTTTTTGTTCTGTTACTTTATTAACGTTTGTTTTTGTTATGTGCATGTTATTAGTGCATTGTAGAGTAGTGTACCGTAATATATTATTCTTTCATTTACTGGCTATTTTGTTGTTATTTTCACCCTGATGACACTACCAACATTAACTTTTTCCCGGAGCACGTTGTTGACCCATATTTTTGGCATCAATGAATTCAAATAAATATAAATAAAGCCAGTGCCAACAACAAAGGCATTCAAGACTAACGCAAGCATATTTAGACTAAACACAAATTATGTCCTTTTTCTTCGATTTCATGCCTATAAGCGATATGTAAAAAATCGTACTCTTCTTTTTTGCTCTTTTCTACGCCTCTCAACAATCAAGAGCTTTTTCTCTTTTTGGAAGGAGGAAAAAGTAAAATGTCTCTGCTTGTAAACAAAGACTTTTCTCAAAATATGTCTTGACTGGAATTGAAAAAATTATACCGTAAAGATTGATAAACTTATAAATAAGATTATTCATATAACGACATTTCAAAACGAGCTAATATACGGAGAGTGTTCCGATCCAAATCATTTTCAGTGGCGTTTGTTCTTGGGCCAAAACACACACCAGTGTTCCAAATTTCATTAAAATGTCTCAAAAATTATGAACTTTAAGTTGAACAGACGAAAACAAGGACAGCCAGACAGACATACGGACAGGAAATCTTCAAGTTTTTCAGAAAGTGATTCTCATCGATAGGTATAACACCGCCTGAATGCCCGAGGGCAGAGACTCTCGACTAACAACTCACTAGTCGTGGGTTCAAATCTCAAATGCGCTAGAGTTTCCGAGAAATATCACTGTCTTTATATACTAGTGTCTTATATGCTAGTGCTTTAAGACTTTGGTCTTGCAATTTATTTCTCTGGCTAAATTCATAACAATAATAATAATAACAATATTTAACAATTGTTTGAACATTTCATTAAACAAGTAGGAGTTGTTTTTTTAACATAACCGGCTACGAAATCGTGTTGTAGTTTTGTCTTTAGATTAATACCAGCAGCAAGCTGAAATTCCATTGCTCTGGCCTACATGCTTTCTCTGTAATTTCTTTGTACTTTATTAATTAGCTAACCTTCGAACGAAAGACGTCGTTGAGCAAAATCAATCGCAGTAAGTTGCGAACAATTTTTATATCAAACGATTTCATACATCTCGCGGATTACAAAGTTTCTGTTATTTATCACAAGCACTGCGTCGACAAAGTGAAAGAATGAACACAAACGTATTTTTTCTCCACTTTTCTTCAAATCCCAACGGTTGTGGATTCAGCGATAGGCGTAATTAGCTTTGTTCTTGTTACTGCCGGTTCAGGTCGGGTCAACTTCCAGCGAAACCACAATGAATTACTGGCAGTAGCATTATACCAATGATCAAATTAAATAGAAAACGGTATGAATCCAAGAACTTATGAAAACGGTAGTGTTGGCAAGCGATCTATCTTAAGGAATAGTTGGTTCTGAAAATTAGCTGATTATTATCACTAATCCTGACCGGTATCCTGATAGATATATGTATATATATAAACTGATGAAGATTAGGTGGATCAGAGGCTTTCAAGGGCGAAGCCATACAACTGGTAGCGAGGTGAGTTGAAAGAAAAACTTTTTTTTGTTTTTTGGTGTGGAGTGAATCGAGATGTCCTCTATTCGCGCAATACAGTAACGATCAAAGAGAAATGAAAGAAGACGTGGAAATAGAGTAGTCGTGGTCACAGGTTAGGGGATAATCTTACCGACTGAACATTTACTATATCTACGACCACGGCGAACTCTACCACACAGATTTGAATTCACGGACATTGACATGGTAGTCGCGATTCTCACCTAGTCGGCTACATCTTTTTTGTATTGCCTTTTGTATCTCAAAGTCAACTTTATTTTTTAATCTTATCTCCACATATAATGGCTGTGAAAAGACTTTCGCCCTTAAAAAAGAAGTATATTAAATCATTTTTAAGTAACGTTTTTTTTTTTTTTATTTTGAACATAGAAAAGTAGCTGCTGTCTCAGGAGACGCCCGGTTATGTTGAGGTCTTTTTAATCTCTTATTAGAAGGAAACAAAATTCAAGCTTTCTTTTGCTATTAAATGTAAAGAAATTCGGTTTTATTTTATTTTGCCCTAAATCGTTGTAAACGTAAATCGTTTAAGAATCGTGAACGACTTTTCTTTCTCATTTTTTATGTGTTGTTCAAGCTTTTAAATTACTTTCACTACGCAAACACACCTGTTAAAGTTAATCGAAATCTAATCAGCTGTAAAATAGAAACAAAAATTAAGTTTCTTTATATACGGATGCTCACAAAAAAGCTTTTTTAACCTGAAAAGCTTATTGGAATTGAAAGCAACACATTGCTTAACTTAAGAGTAAATGTAAACAAACTGTAAAAATAACAATAACTGTATGACAAGACAAGGCATAGGCTAGGAAGGGGCATACTAATGTCAATGGAAACACACGCAATATATAATAGATATATATTATATATATATAAAAAGATATACATTATATACATATGTGTATACACATATATATATATATATATATATATATATATATATATATATATATACATGAAGTTTTTGCAATTCCTTATTACATTGGAACATAAGCATAAAATATTAAGAAAAGTATTGAAAAATTCTTATAAATATTTGATAACATCACGACGACGAAAGTAATGCAATGTTATGTATGTATAAGATTATATAGCGACTGGAGAGCTATAGTATTCGCTGCCTATTGTTTTTGTTGTGTTCCATGAAAGTTTTGGGATGACAGCAATAAAGCGATGCTATGCGTATATAAACGAAGGGAACAATTTTTCATTTAAGTTGGAACCTTTGCACGCAACGCACGTACACGGTATTATTCGGGTAAACGAGTGCTAAAATACTTATAGCAGGTTTTGCTACGCGAGTGCTAACAGCACATTGTTTGTGGTCTGGAAAATAAAACATAATTATATGAAATAATAAAAAAAAAGAAAAAGAAGAGTTTTGCCTTTCAATTGTGAAAAAGGAAATCAACAAATAATATTTACGTCAATCTTTGAAGAATCATTTTCTGATTTCCGTTGTCTTCGCCACTTAGTTGACATGACAAATATTTATTTTCTACTTGCTTGAAGAAAAAAAAAAAAAAAAAAATCATTAAAATGATTAGAAATTATACATTTTCCTTCTTAAGAGTTCCTGCAAGTGAGTTTGAAAAGTGACGTGCTGTTACCCTTTAGCCAATGAACCAATGCATTGGCTCCTAATATGCATTCTCTCTTTTAACGTGAAACTATTGCACTCTTTGCTTACAATTATTCTCCTTTCTTTAATAATCTCTCTTCGATATTTTCTCTTTTTTACTTAAAGCATTTTTTTTTTTTTTTTTTTTTTTTTTGATAATATATATCACGATGTCAAGTACAATAATGATGATGATGATACAGCTCTCTTGCTCACGCATTTTTCAAATATCCAGCATTCTTTAAATTACTGTTAACCAGAGTCGTTTATATATCCGCTTAAAAATTTGAATTTAATATTCGATAATAAACTATAGGAAGGAGCAACAATTCTTCTATACATTTTCTTTCTCTTTCTCTCGCATTCGATTTAAAAACGAAACGAAAAATAAACTGATAAGTCGTAAATATAACAAACGAAGCGAAACGCATTTCACGTTTTAGTTTATTTTTTGAATAAAAAAAACGCTTTTTTTTCTTATGTTTATTTACTTTATTGCAGTTGTGCGGTGGCAATGCGCGCTTACGTGTGTATCTTCTCATTGTTGTAAATGTAAAACGAAATGCATGAAATTGTATATGAGAATGAGTTTATTGCATTTCCTTAATTAAAAACGCTAATGAATGAAGATTTAAGGAAATTCGTTTTCTTAAGCAAAAAAAAAAAAAAAAAAAAAAAAAAAATTGGCAAAAAATTTTTCTAAATTTTTAAAATTCTAATTTACGTGACAAGCTTGTTATTACAGGTAAGTGAAAGCGTATGCAAAATTCTATACCATACATAAGAACATTTATGGGCGAAAAAAGAAATGAGCCCTCATACATGAGTGCTTCGGTTCGCATTTTATTCACTAAATATTGCAACAGAAAAGAAAAAAACAAATTTGTGAAATTTATTAAATATTTCGAAATATCATGGGACAGAAAATGCAAAGGCTTAATTCCGATTTAGTTGTCCTCACTGCTCAACATTTACATTGGCTGCATTTTTATTTGTCCCGATATGTTTTAAAAGTAAATAATGTGATGAGCCAGCTATGGAGCTGCTATCCAGCTATGGAGTGAAATAAGCCGAAGTCTAATATAATATGATCGAAACTGATACCGAGATTAGCTCATAAGTTTTATTTTGCATTGATGCCATTGAAGTCATGTATATTGACATGTTGATGAGCATATTAGACCAGCCTTTGGTTGGGCACATCCGATAAACGCAAAGTGGTTTTTAAAACTAGTAAGAGAACTAAGTTGAATTGGACAAAAGTGTGTGGGCAATTGATTTCTTTGAAAATTTAATTTATTTTGATTCAGCATTTAGAACGCCCGCTTTCGTCCGTAATGGAGTGATTCCTTTACTCTGAATTCATAACATTATATAATTAAAAGCCCGCATAAGCTTATCTGTCGTTCATCTCGAGAATTGATTTTTATTTTTGGCAATTCGTCCGCACCGCTGCCAAGTTTTCGCAACTCTGGCCCAAGCAAAGAACAATCATATAGCCAGGTGAATTTCATTTGAAAATTTTCCAGGCTCCTTAGATATAACCTTGCGATTATTTAAAGGCTAAAACAATTTGATACACGAAATATGTAAAAATTCAAAATGCGAAACGTAAGGACGCGGGGAAACAAAATCTAACTTGATTTAGTAAATTCGTTGATCTGCTTGGCACAATTTAAAAATTTGAAGTTTGGAACACTAAGCCGATAAATTTATACCCTGTCAGCTTTGGAAACGGGCGCGGGTTCCCTCAACATGGAAATGTACTTAAAAACAAGTACAAACTCTGTAGTGGGACGCAGCTCATTGTTAAATATCTTATCAAAATAAGGCTTTATGTGCTTGAAATTGCGTTCATCCTTGGACTAAACACATTGCTATACCAAATTCCATCAAAATATCTCACCACAAGAATACAAGACAGACAGACAAGCTTAAATCGACGCAAAAAGTGATTCCGAATCGACTGATACAATAAAAAATGGGACTATGCCAAGTCTTTCATCCGCATAAACTTAATATGCCGCTGCACCATAAGCAGCGTAGGGTATACGAATGTCAAGGTATTCGTATAAAATACAATCCTTCGTAAACATAAATCTAAAGTTATTGTTGTAAATATAAAGACTTTCTAAAGGTTTTTTTGGGAAGAAACTGTGGCCTTATTGTGCAAAAACGACTGTCTATCGTTAGCCAAGAATTTGTCACATTTTTCCCGATAGAATATAGGATTCGAAGCGAAAGAACAACTAGTCTTTTGACACTGCTCGCGGAAAGATCCGTGAGAAGTAGCACGTTTCAGCAACTAAATATCGCGATGCATCCATCCTTCATCACTTTCATCGAGGCAGCCGGATTATCCGACGACTTGGAGGACAGACGTATAAGAAATCGAACAGAAAGGTAAATAGAAAGACGAACTCGCAGACATGAAAAACAAGCTAACTACTAACCAGACAGACAGAAAGCTTGAAAGTACGGTTGATTATTGACCACACATAAGAGCGGATAGCCACGGGGAGGGTGAGTAAAACAAACTGCCAGCCGTGAACAGAAGTGAATAGCAAGCATTTGCACATATTGCTATTGGCAGATATGGTCAGATCGATTTCATCATTTTTGCCTTAATCAAGTGTTTATGCGATTTCCAGTAGAAATGATGGAATTTATAGGTATCTTGCAATGGATGTAAAATTGGTAGTAACATGTTAAATTACGCTTTCAATGCTTTTTACATTTCAAGTCCTTCTACTTCGTCATGATTTACAAGAAAGTCTGTTCTTTATGTTGCACACAATATTATGTGTATTTTAGAGTCGTGCGTTGCTAAAGTCATACTACAAGTTTTTACATATTCGATGAGCGTGTGTGGTTGACATGCCAAATTGTATACATTTTGTGATACGAACAAATTATAACGCAGCGTCATAAGAAATTATTGCACATGCACACGAACCCGTCCCACGAACATACTGGAAAATCATATAACAAGTCGTTGCCATCGCTAGTTAAGTGGTGTTGTATGTATTTTATGTAGTTTTATGCTTTGGTTAATGATATGGTCATAAGAAGACCCTGTGTTTTTGTCATAGAGGACGGGGATCATATTTCAACTATGCATCAATGCAGTCAAACAGACAGCAAGTGATTATTTAAACAATTCGTGATGAGTGCAATGCACATGAAAGTTACAAATCTTATATTTTGATAATGAAAGCGAAACAAGTACAAACAATATAGTCGGACAATGCCGATCACGAAGTACCGTACACTATTTTCGCTAACACAATTCTTCATTTATTCCCACGGTAAAATACAAAAAATTTCACTTTGTTTTACAAGTAGCAGCGTACCTTTATGATAGTCCTTATATCGAACGTGAACTGGTGTGATCCAGATTTAGCAAAATTAATCTTCGTGTCAAAGACATCATTGCACATAGTAACTTGTTTTCGTTACAAAGTCTTAAAAAGTAAACTTTGTTGCTCTATAGAGGCTTGATTTTCATGAATAGCCTTTTGAGAGGTGGGGTATCAAAAATCGACACAATTGACCCAAATTTGGTAAAATTTATTTTTATGTCGAGCTATTGTCAAGGACCAATTCTTCCCGTGAAATATTAAATTAAATAGTGTGTGAAGTGTATTAAATATCAGGCCACTCGCTCCTGCATAGGCGTTGTTTTCGTGAGATCGGTTATATAGGCAGGATTTAAAAACATAAGTCTACGCAATAGCTGCGACCCGGACAGACACGCTGAGATCGATTTAGAAAATGACTCTGAATCAATCGGTATAATGAACGGTAAATCTGTCTGAAGGTCTTTTTGGGTGTTACATACAGCCGCGCAAACTGAACGTAACGTAATGTGTTACTTACAAGTAGTATGGGAGATAAAAACAAATGTATCACATTTGCATGCATATTCAATGTTGGTCTCTTTTAATTGCTGATATTATGAATTTTTAATTTGGGAATTGTCAACGGTCAGCTCTAACAGACCGTTCGAAAATATTATGTAAATTTAGCGTCAATTACGAATGATTATTTTTCATAGACAGTTTCTCAGGGTATATAACAAAAATACTGTAACACATTACACATTGTTATAACTTTGTAATTTTTTATATATTTTTTATTTATATATTTCTTATATGCATCAAATTGTGTAGCGAAAGCAATTACAACCACCTGAGAGAACAAACAACAAATAAAACATAAAATCGATAAATTATTTGTTTTAAAGTCTATAAAAATGCCAATACGATTGCACTCAACCACACACGTGTTTGCCGTTAGAGCCTTCATATATAAGTGGCCTACTTTCACTTTCGTTGTTACGGTTGTTCTTAAAGTGCTTAAGAAAAACGTTCTTCTTAAGGCCACATGTGGATTGCATTGCATAGCATTTTGTTCTTATTTTTTTCCTTTTCCTTTTTTTTTTTGTTTTCATTTTTTTTATTTTTTTTTTTTTTTTTTTTTTCTTAGCCTTTAACTACATAAAGTTTTCATTTTGCTTGGGACTTGGGTCAGAAAGTGAAAGAGAACAAAAATCCAAAAATCTCTTCGGAAATATAAGTGTTAAATGACAATAAACTGTCACTTGCCCCTTTCGGAATCCATTTCGATTTAAATCTACGCAATGTAGTTTCCATAAGCCGATATGCATGTAGAAAAGTTGCCCATAAACGGATTTAAAATTCAACTCTATTCAATTCAATTCAATCCATAGTCCTTTAGTGAGTGAATGGGTATTAACTTTAAATATTAAATTTGAAATGAATTTAAATAAAAGCCCAATAATTTATAGTTTATCGTATATAAAAGTGAATGGAAGAATTCAAATGGAATGTTATTCTTCTCTTATTTTCTCATCTTCCCAATATATATATAATGGTATATAATGGTTTTCTTTTAAAATTGCTTATGTAAGAAGTAGTGTCTGAACAGCGGAAGTGTTGGAACTTAGGGGTCGGAAATAATTTATAGAGCATAGTATGCGCGAGTATATAAATTTAAAAGGGATTTTAATAAAAGCGCAAAATGTGTGCGATTACTTGTTTCAATAAAGGAAGTTTATATTATGGCAATAAAACGATGCTTTCAATCGAATTTGTGTTTTTCTTTTTCTTGCCCCTGTCACTGGCCTTTATTTTTACCCTAAATTATAAATTATGTGTATTAGAATATTTGTTTCATCCATAAACGAGGAGAAATAACAATAGTCCATGGGGAAGCTAAAAAACTATTAAATATAAAATATTCACACACATACTCTCATAAAATTTTTGAAAAGTGCATCAACGTAGGCAGCGGCAATATTTTTCACCATAACATTCGTCGTTAAGGCTGCTTCTCATGAAGGATGCGTGTACACTCATTTTGTGTTTTTCCATAATGTATGTACACAAGTTTCAGAGAATCTATAAAGTATATATATATTCTTGATTAGCGTGAACTTCTGAGTTGATTTAGTCATGTGTTTTCGTCTGTGTGGTGTTTGTTGTTGGCATTCTCCTGAACGCAAAGAAGAATATATCGACTTTAAATTTAGTAGGAACATTGGAAGTTTCTTCACACAGGTTAGTATTGAAATGCGCCAAATTGTTCAGCGTAGAAGCGCGCAGTGAAGCGTAAACTGAACACAACTCCGGTTTTTTTACAATAATTTATGAATTTTTTCTCGTTACACGGACATTATACAAGTTAGAAACCCGAAATTCTCCACATTTAGTTTACGAAACACTCTACTCTGTACGTGGGAAAATGGAGAAAAAGGGGCCTGCCCACAAAAACTTAAAATTGATAAAATTTTATATTTTTTCACTTTTTTATGCTTATTTATTATAACGCAAACAAGACAGAATGTTTAAAACTATTTTGTACATCCCTCAGATTATTTCTAAACCCTCGGGTTAATTCTAAACTGAATATGGTAAACACCGCGGTTACTTTTTTCTTGATAAGAACAGCGATATGGGCATCAAATAAAATAACTTGGAGAGTAGAACGCGACACGCATAGTGGTGGCCCCTGCCGAATATGATTTTTTTACCTATTATATCTTCAACACTCTCGCAAACTCTGTCTATTCGTCCAACTGAAATCACGCGTAGGAGGTATGGTCCACGCGCAGTAGTTTTAGGGCTTTTTAGACTTTTATGGCTATCCTATTGACAGTCGATAGTGTTATGATTTCAATATGGCAAACTTGGGTATTTACCTTATCTAGCAACCAAATAATACTTCACAATAATCACCATATTCCCCAAAAGGCTTTAAAGTTGTTACACTAAATTCAAGTCTTCGCTCAAATTGCCCGCGTTTTGAAAGCAACACGAAATCGATAAAATTGAGTCATACGCAACGCATATCACGGGAAGACGTAAAATGCATGCTGACGCACTAAAATACAAAGATGGTTTCGAATTGTTTTTTTTGTTGGCGAGCTCTAGGAATTAAAATTTCTGCTTAGTTAAGCGTACTCACGCTGGATGCAACTTTTGATTTTAAAAACATTTCATATTATTGAACATTTGATTTTACTTGATATCAATAACTTTGCAAGAAAGCCACTCTTATCTTCCGCTACATGAGCGAAATAGTTGGCGGATATTATATACCTTAGTTGTACAAATACATTCTCTGCATATTTTGACAACATTTTGGAGCAAAAGTTTGAATTGCGTGGCCACCGTAACAAATCCTGTCTTTTGATATCTATCTCTGAATTAATTAGAGAAAAATTTAATCAAAACAAAAACCCCAGCACTTATATCCCTGGATCTTTCAAAGGTCTTCGATAGACTCCGTCCTCATTGAGAACACACTCACAACTTTAACTTTTCCAGAAGTGTATTTAATCTTGGGCAATCTTTCTTATTCAATCGCAAGCAATGCGCTTCTATTAATCATGTTTCATCCGGGATAGTTAAAGTGAACTCTGGATCTTCTCAGTGTTAGATCCCATCCTTCTTAACCTTCCCTTGGATGACGTAACTGACCTTATCGATAGAGATGGGTGCTTTGCATTTGCCGACGATATTCTCATTTCCTTGAGCCTTGATCAGTGGAATATTGGTTCGTTTGAAAGCAAAGTTAATGAATGTCCAGCAAGGTTTGAAGATTGAATGCTCAATAATTGTCTCTCGATTAACGAGCGTTTCTTTTCAACCGGGCTGGAATCTATAGCAAATTCTAGACTTAAAGGGAATATCGACTGGGAATCGGACAATCGAAATTGGAAAGAAAAGTAATTGACCAACGAGAAGACAATTTCCATCACATTTTTTCATTATTATATGTTAAAAAGTAATTGTGTTTTATTTTCTTTTAATTTATTCTTGGCCGTTATCACACTAATTTAAATAATGCTTAACTTGTATTTAAATATAATTGAAGCGAATCTTATTAAAACCGTACAACCGTACAATGTTCATAAAAATAGCTTACAGTGCATTAGCATTTATGTTTAACTGAATTGCCTGATTATGAATATTTTTCACGGAGACTAGCATCTACGTAATATGAAATTATAAATAAAAGAAGAAATATTTAAAACACTACCACAACTTCGCGCTTACATACATAAATATGTTATAATTCGATGACATTTAAACTGTACTATTAAACCAGTGGAAAATAAAAGGAAGAATAACAAGCATTTTAACGTCCTATAAAGCTCATGCATATACATACATGCATACATATATACGTACGTATCAACATGTAAAATGGAATTGGAGGAATAGCCAAGTGTTTTCTCTACTTTACCCTATGAAACTAGTTATTTTTATCTCTATAAATTAAAAAAAAAAACAACAAGTACGTCTATGCCGTTGTAAGCATATTCATTCGTATACTCTTGCTTAAACACAAAATAAAAGATATTTGTAAAAAGACCTTCTTCAGTCTAGTAGCACCTCCATGTCACACTTTCTTTCAAATTGTAGTCGGTGTTAACAATATACACCGAATAAATAACGTCATCATCATTATATTCACAATTAAGTGAAGAGTAAAAGAAGGGGGAATAAGAGAAAAAAAAAAAAAAAAAAACGATATAAAAGTAAGGAAAATTAACATCGTACAGCAGCTCAACGATCTAACGTTGGGAAAGAAGTCGTAGTGAAATAGAAAAAACAAATTAAAATTGAAATTGAAGCATGCTTTGCGGCATTACAAAGGACATTGAACGTACCACCTTCATGTAGTTGTAGTTTATTCGCCAACACGTCAACACATATACAAAGGCATTGCTCTATAACCGCAAGTTATTAAAAATGCTAAAAAAATGAAATAAGAAAAACTAAAAAAAAGCAAAACTAAAACCCATAAAGACACAACGTAAGCTGCGTTAACAGTGTAAATAATGCTATGCCGTGCTTGTGCATAAGAAAGCTGTTGCAAGAAAACGAAAGAACACTTACTAACGCATTTATATAGATGCCATTTAAACACTCAAACATACGTATATATATATATATATACACATATACATACTTGCCTAGATATGTAAGAAATGTAACTAACACCAACAATTCATCATTCATTCATTCATTCATTCATTCATTCAACAGCATTCAACAATAACACAAGTAAAAGGAATTACTATAAAATTGCTTAGAAATGGAACGAATGGACTGAGTGGAAATTAATTGCGTAGTTGCCATAAGCAACGCGTAGATAGAACTACATTTTCGCATACCTACATACAAAACAAGAAGGATTTTAAACATTTTGATGTATGAGTTTTCCGTTTAGCTATCGCAGTATTTGTCGTTGTCTTTTGAGTTATTTATGTCAATACTCTCAAGACCATTTCAATTGAAGACAATTAAGGATCTTGATTTATCCGTGAAACACAGCGTCTTCGTCATTTTGTGATTTATTTTGAATACCTACGTACATACCCTTTAAGCCCTATTATTATAATATTTATGACGGCAAATTCGCTTGAATTTCTGTAGGCAAGATTGTTTCAATTAAAGAGAGACAAACTCTACCTTGGCAAAGTTGAAAAGGGCACAGCTAATTACCTAATAGAGCGGTTATCTGTTCCTTCTTCGATGAACTTTTGAGAATCTTTTACTAAAAAACAAGAAAGCTACCTACGGATTGATATGGATTTTATTGCACCAATAAGTGATTCGGGCAAAGCATGTGATCTGCTATTTTTTATTATTTTCCCATTTATTGAGTCGTGTGTGCGAAATACTATTTTTACGTAATTTCTAAATCATTTTAAAATGCAGACGCCGGCAAATTTTATAAATTAATAGACGAACTAAAGACCGTGCCCATAAATGACGATTTGTCAGATCCCGTGTTAAGCTTTAAAATCATAAAATAATAAAAGGAAAGAATTATTGAATTATTTATTATGTTTTGCCAAAACCACAGCCCATCACTTGTGGTACAAGGGTACAATAAGTTCGCTCAGACGTATGTAAAACTCAAAAGGACTTCACTTAAATCTTTCTTTTCTTATACGGATCGATTAACAATCATTTTCTGAATCAATTTCAGCATATCCGTTCGTCTGTCCGTCTTGTATTACTATATTCAACTTACAGGCCACAATCTTTCAGATATTTTGATGAAATTTGGTGCACTGACGTGTTTTGGGCAAAGAGCGAACGCTGTAAAAAAATGGTTCAGATAGAGCCACATTTTCGACCATATCCATATAACGCCTTCATTAAGGTGTTTTTAAGTGCTTTTAATGTGAGGAGAATTGAATAAAAAAATTTTAGACTAAGCTTTTCTTTTCTGGAGGAAATTCTACGCTAGTAATTGTGATCAAACAAATAGACATCGGCTCACGGCGCATGAAAAGCGTTGCGAAAGGGTAAGAAAGAAAAGTGTAGCACATAAGCAGCACATATATTTAAATATTCTATCACTACCATGATTGTAAGTGATGTACATAAGTATTTTAGAGGAAGAGTAAAATCGAGAAGAAGTAAGATCTCCCTTTGGTAAAAATATTTAAGTCGGCTTGATACTCACTATGCGTCATAAAACTTGTTAGAAAATTAAATAAATTAAATTATGAAGTTTTTCATTCTGCTTAATTTTTAAATTTTCTTATTGACTAATGAATATGAAAATTTCAATATCCTTTAACATTAAAACTTAAACAACGCTAAAGTGGAAGAAGAAACCGTGTCCGTCAATCTCACAGACAATGCCAGAAGATTAATAAAACCATTAGCACAATGACTAAAGGCCGACCAACAAATGGATAGCCGGCCGGATACATGATCTGACAAAACCGTGGATAGGTAGGCTGACGAACGACTCTATTATAAATAGTAAAATAGAGACTGACATACGGACTCATTAATTGTGAGAGTGATTGCAAGTAAATGCATACATACACACACACACACACACACCACACACATTAGGAGAGCGATAAGTAGTGGCAGGCTATTATGCGACCAATCGGCAAGTCTTATGTCTTTACTGACGTTAATTGACGGACAACTCTATAGATGGACTGAGCGATGAGTTGACGTAGGGACTGGCCGATGACCGGACGAAAATTGATGGGTTAAAAAACGTGTACGCAAATGCACGGACACTTGAAGTGAGAGGTTGGCAGACCGGCAAGCAGATGGACTAAGAGAAAGGCTTACAAATGCATTGTGAGAATACTTGAAATTTAACTTTTATGCAATAGCGGACGGGTTGATAAACAAGTCAGCATGTACGTGTGCATTGGCGGACGACTTGGCTGTTAAGGCAGACTGACGTCTAACATAGCGAATTGCTTAAAAGGTTTGAAAAAAGAGAAGCAGAAATATTAAATGGATCAGTTGGCTGGTACGAAATATGCCTCAAAACATGTGATGGTAAACGCATTAAAATATTCGTGCTCGGATTGTATCGATTCGGAATCACGGGCGTTACGATGAAAGCACATACCCGTTCCGAAGTAGGGAATGAGTAGTTTTGACAAATAGCAAACGAAATTTATCGGCGTCACTTAGTGGGCATTCGTAAGGTTCGCTACGATTTAAAACCACAAATTTAATGCTCCCTCTGTTGTGAGCGTAACAAAAGACATAATTTATTGTACTTGGTAAAAAAATTCATTAGGCTACGGTCGCGACCGCAATTATAAAACTTAGCACTTCAAAATTGCTCGCCAAAACTCAATAAATGCTTTCGACCTTCAACTTTAAAACATGTTTAGTGTATTTTAATACAATTAGAAGGGCAAATAAAAGACGATAAACTTATGTATATCATATAAATTTGCTAATAATAAATTCATTAGGAACAAAGAGAAATAACAACTTTATAGAAATCGCTCGTAAAACGAAAACTTTAAACATAAATTAAAAAGCTCCTGATATATATTTGAAAACGATTTAAACATTTTCTTCTTACATTTAAATTAAAATGTTCTAAAATAATATTTTATGGCTTTTCCTTTCGCATGACAAGCAATTCTTTACAACATTTCGTTTACATATTTTCAAAAGCCAAATTATTTGGTTATTTTGCTACTAATCAATTTATAGTACGAAGCGTGTTACATACAACGGTTGTTTTTGACAGCTTATCCATTGTGTTGTCATGCTCAGGCATATGAACATGTATGACATTTTCCAGACGTTTAAAGGGAACAACGTAACGTCTGAGTGATATTTTTATTAAATTCCCAAGATTACTTATACGTTTAATTTAATTTTACTTTTATGTAAAGTTACTTAAGCCATGCTATCTACGGTCCCATAAAGCAAAACCAATCGCTAAGGTTCAAATAAAGGACTGAATGTTCGGAATGAATGAAGCATTTTCTACTGAACTTTAGAAAGCAAAGTTTCAAAAATAACTTAACTTGCCTTGCATAGCATACTTCGGTAGTGTGATCGAGTGCAAAACTTAAGCTTAATATGTATTTTCCCCTATCTAGAGTAGCAATAAGATTCTTATGACATTTGCAAGATCGTAAGGTAGTACCTCGGAGTGAATTTTTCGTTTAAAAGTCGACAAAATTATTTCAAACACATGGAAATTTGACCCGTACACTCTTTCATCATTTCCACAATTTCTAACAAACATATCGAAAAGATTCTTATAAGTGATTGCCGGAACGCCTTAAATGGAAGGATACAAAGAACTAATCGGCGCGTCCAGCAACTATTGTTGTTTGAATACCATACTTGAGACGATTTCTGTGAGCACTTGCTTAGCACTTCGATCTCTCTCTGACACTCTAATGTAGCGCAATTTTTGTACCCGCACTTGGTTTGTTGTATGACAAACCGCTTAGTAGATCTCTGTACGTGTACGCACAGTGATGATCCTGAAAGACATGACTCGAATGGGGTAATAACATCACGAAGTGTGCAAAAGAGCTCAACACTCGCACATGCTTCACATCGCACTGCACACATTCCAACCACGCGTTTCGTCCCCGTTTTCTGTAATTTCTTTAACAAATAATGTACTTGCAGTGTTAGTTCGCCCATATATACAATATATATTTATTTGATAGATATATTACAAATATACATTTGTCTACAAAACAAAAGTTACGCGCTTATTTTAATGCACAATTATTAAATTTACAGACACAAACATATACAAATATACAGGCCAGAAAATTTCGAAAATATTTTAGAAACGATAGAAAGTCGAAATGAAGAATAAGGAAAGGAGAAGAAAAAGGAAGTTTTATTATTTTTTTTTTTTTAGCGGAATGTGTAAACTTTTACTTCTCCTTTTTGGGCATCTTAGGAGCTGTGTCTTTACAAATAGTTTGGGCGATGAATTCAATTACCGTACGTGTGGGACGCCCGGCCATTCCGGCTCGTAAGTACTCAAAATGACTTCCCTTGGTAAATATTACACTGGTCGCATCGATGTGCATCCATTGGCCGCAGGGTACAAATTCTCTTAAGAAAGCAGCAGCCTTACAGGGTTTTCCACCACGTCCTATACCTATATTTTGTACATCTGCAGACATGCCACTTGTTACCTGTTTCGTGTAATAATCCCACAACGGCATTCTCCAAACTCTATCGCCGGTATGCATGCTAGCATGCTTAATTTGCTGCCATAGAATCTCCGAATTAGTAAAAACACCACAAGCAGCCTCCCCCAATGTGTTCCGCATGTCCCATGACGGAGTACCGACATCGACAATGCATTTTGGGCAGAAATTTTGTGCGTATGAAAGAGCATCAGCCAAGACCAAAATGTCTTCATAGTCAGTACCTTGAATTTTTATATGTTTGCCGTTCATACATTTGACGGTGTCTCCAGAGCGAAATGAATTGCAGCCCATAACATTCTCGCAAAGGGGAATAAGGCCTCTAATATTGACCGGTAAGCGTAAAGCTGCTACAGCTCTGCATGTTGCAACAACAACAGCAGCTCCTGTCATATCAGCACGCATAACGTATAGCTTCTCCATGGGATTCAAGCAAAGACCACCACAATCGTATGTTATGCCCTGACCTATTAAGACGATCGGCCTTTCTTCAGCTGAGGTGCCATAGTAGCTGAGCTCCAAAAAAATTGGCGGTTCGCATGAAGCTTTTCCCACCGACAAAAAGGCATTCATCAACTGACTTTCGGCCCAACCTTCTACTTTAACCTCCACATTTACACCAGACTTACATAAAACCTCAACTACATTCTGAGCAAAAGCAGTAGGCGTCAATATGTTTGCGGGCATTTCTTGTAACTGACGTGTTAGATTTTGTGCAGCTGCTTTCTGCACACCAATGCGCCACCCTTCAATATCGCATAAATCATCTTTTGTTGTGTACAAATCAATCGCTGGCATTGCGATGCGGTTCTTTTTTTCACGCAGCTCTTGATAGCACCAAACACCCAAAGCAGCGCCCTCGCCCGCCGATTCGGCGTGCCCGCAATTGTCCACCTCAATTCGAGTTGTATCTAAGAGTGCCAAGTCCATGCATGCCTTAGCTACGGATCGTCTGATCGTCTCCTTTTGTTCATCAAGAACTTCATATGGGTTATAACCCAAGCATTCTTTACCCAAACCGACTATAGCCACTGCTGAGTAATATGGTATTTTTTCGGTCTCTTGGCCGAAAAACAGTCGAGATTCGCCTGCTTTAGGCATTGGCCCCGACATACGTAGTACTTCTATCATACGTCCGCCCGTTCTTTGAACATTATACTTCCATCCTGCGGCGGTTAGAATGCCTGTATCGGTTTTATCGTTCTCATCGGCGTACACACCAAATATTACACCTCGAGAGGGGGGATCTGCACAAACCTCCGTGTGCTGCAACTGCAGCATTTGATTAATGGCTTGTGATGCATAATTCCGCATCTGACTAACAAGTTTCGTCGCGTGTCCGAAAGCATTTAAACGTAACATTCCCGCCATGTCACGCTGGCAATTTCTAAATAGCGCAAATTTTTTCAACATTTACGATTTTTGTATAGACAATATACAAATAAAATTAAAGAAAATATACAAATAAAATAAAGAAAAAGAGGACTTCACAGTAGAGTGATTTCTAGAGAATGAAATTTTATATTTGAAATTTTGAAATTAGGTAAAGTTATAGGCATAAGCAATTCGATCGAAATATCTGAAATCAAAACAAGTGAAAATTGAACAGAAACTAGACAGGTGCATATGCAAAAAGCGTTCGTAATTGTAAACGAAATATAAAGCAGCGCACAAGGATGCATAAAAACGAAAAGTGAAAAAGTCATAAGAAAATTCAAATATGTTCAAGGCATATACAAAAAAAAATTACTATGCACACACACACGTCAACAGACATAAGGGAAATGTATGGAACTTAGAATTCATGAAAAAAAAGCAAGAAGATCACGTAGAGGGTATTTGAAGGAGTCGTGAACATAATTCTATATAATTCTTTGTAATGATCTAATTGGATTTCTCTTGAAAATTCTAACCAAACTTTCTACCTTCTTAGCCTTAGCAAAACGTTTGTCCAAAATATCACAGATCCAATGCTTCTATATATTTTCAAAAATCCATGATGGAATAGAAAAAGGATAATCATCCGGCAGAAGAGAAAAAGGGCAAAGGTATTTTTTTCACCTCGATGATATGCCGCGCAATTGTAAAATTACAAAAGCTGGGAGAGTTTAAGTGGATAAGACGTCTCACCTATCCTATGACTAGATTCATTGGACATTCATTCAGAAATGCGTACAAAATGCGTGAACAAAGAAGCGCAAGGAAAATGACAAAAGCAGAGTAAGTAAATTTTGGAAAAAAGCCCTGGCAAGCTTACCAAAAAGTATTGCAGTGGCGATGGCAAAACAAAAGCCGTTGAAAGTTTTGCCTGACACGATGGCCGATGCCAATCACTAGATTCCCGCCCCAGTATTAAGTTGATGCCTTCAAAGTCATTTCGTTCGTTTCAATGTGCTTGCTCTGTGGTCATATTGGCACAAACGAATTCTATCAAATTGAAATGATTTATAAAACACAAAACAAAAAGACCTTGAAAGAGAACTGCAAAGAATAAAAGAAAATAGTTTTAAAAATGAAGAAAAATGTGTATTAAAATAAATAAAAACACTATCTTGGGCCAGAGCACTGCGCCACTCCGCAGATATTCATGTAACGACTTTTCAAAACAACGCGTCCTACGAGAAATGCTCGAAAAAGTGGGCCGATCTAAACCATTTTCAGTAGCGTTAGACCTTGGGCTAAAAGTTCTTAGCCTACCAGATTTCATCAAAATATCTGAAAAATTGCGTCTTGTAAGTTGGATACAAGAGGCAAGATGGACGGACCGATAGAAAAACTTAAAAAAAAATAATAATAAAAGGAATGTCCGTCTCAAGCCCGTCTTCCTTCTGTGCACTGTATGCATGAAATGATTTAAAGTTTTCCTACTCTAAGCGCTCAAATTGCTTACACAATATTTTTAAATTTTTTCATTCACACATAACATGCAGTCTATACAGTTATACTTTCGTCTGTATATTTGGCAAAAAGCGAACAATAAGAGATTGAATGTCGGCATCAAAATCAATTACAAAGCAAACACAAGCATGACCACTCACTATGGACCCCCATGTACTCATATACGCATATGCCAGAACACTTGAGTTTATTGAATTTATTTATTTTTTTTTGTGTCTGTTCAATATTTCAATTGCCGTATGAGACTTTTGTACGCAAGATGGCGAGAAAAAAAAAGAAGAAAACTAAGGTAATCTAGTGAAGTCGAGTTAACCCTGAAAGCGAATGTTTAAGTTAGAATTATCTTATCGAAATGTGCTTTGAAAAGCAAATTAAACCATTAGTTAAGTTTAGTTAAGATGAACAAAAAAAAAGAAAAAAGCAAATTCTCATCTTAATAAACCGTCTTCAGGATGACTAAAGTCCTATACAATCAAACCAATTGAATGCCAACACATGCACCCATACTTGACTTTTCGTAAATCCATTAAATGTCCCTTAAGCTTAAACGACTTACATGTTAAAAGCTAACGGAAAGAATAAATAAAGGGAAATCTCTGAATATTGAACTGAATTTAGTTGGGCCAGCAAACAAAAAGAGAGAAAGAAAACTAAGGCAAACATAAAACAAACATTTATCCAAAGTCTATGGAACGAATACTATTAACAAAGAAAACTATCAATAAACAAAGAGAAAAAAAAAAAAAATTGCACAGAACGGATCTACAATTTGTTATATCTAAACTTTCTGCATGCAGAAGTGTTTAAAGGGAAAAATAATGGTTTCCTTCTAAATTTATAGTACGCACACGTAATTTCCTAAACCCTCTGCAAGAAATATTCAAAACTTTTCTCTACATTTAAATATCTATTTAATTCCTTTTAAATAATTCAGAAAAGACAAATTTCTGCTTTATCCTAAATCGAATTCATCCATTCAGTCTCGCTTGAATTTATTCATTTGGTTTTCAAAAAAAAAAACCCAAAAGAATAATTTAAATTTTAATTCGTTTATGTCATTGGATGATTTCATAATTGTTTTAATTTTTTGCAAATAACATTTTTCTATGTCAAGTAGTACAAAAAAAAAAACAAGACAACAGAGCAGACAGATATTTGGGTAGCACCGAATTTTTGATACTTGCAGATATATGACGTAATAAATCGATTGTAAAATGAAGCGAACATCGCTGCCGTCCTTATTTCCAATCAGATTTTGACAGAGCTTGGCAGCTTGGCGTTTACAGGTGGTTATATAAACTCAATAGCTTATTAATAATATTGAGGATATCCCGGAATTGAATTTTGCATTTAATGCACTCATAATCATGGGGATATATTAAGGTTGTACTGACGTATACTAACCCCAGAAGTGCTTGAAAATAACCTTTTGTTATATCTATTGTTTCAGTATGATTGTGTAAATCGATCCCCGCTTGCCTGTCGGTCTGTCCGGTGATGTGTTTTGTGTCCATGACTCAGACCGAACCGAATTTTCAGTCACTTCCCATATAATGTCTTATTTTGAAGAGTCGCTAAACGTGTAGATGTGCCAAGTGATGTGGGCTATTTAATGACGGGTCGCTGCCCAACCATAATAGTTCCCCTAGTTTCATTTAAATGTAATTTAAACGAGTATTACGCATTTACGCAATTATTTAAATCCTTTTTCTTGCGTTTTATACATTTTTATTTTTAATTCCCGAACGATAACTTAAGGTTAATATCTAAAGAATAAATGCAAACAAAATTTTTTTTATGATGAGTAGTTATCCCACAATGCGATTCTCAGCCACTTATAGAAATCCTGGGAATAGTTAGAATGTTGGTATCTTTATTCTTGTTTATAGTTTAAATTCGTTTGCTCATGCAGGCAAGCTGCGCATAGACATAAAATATTAAACGCGGGTCATATACTTTTTGATTTCGAATTGAGCCGATAGTCTTGTTTGCTAGTACCCATTCTTTATTCTTTGGTCTGAATAAATTATATTAACAATAATGGTAATAATAATATTACCTAAAAAGAAAACCACCAGAAGACAAGAAAGAATGCATCCAAGTTCTGCACGAACTTTCTGAAAGAACTTTCGGTTCTTCTTGGCTTGAAAAAAAATAATCAAATGTGATATTGTGATGTTATCCTTCTGACACGGTATGTGTACTTCGCTAGCGCATCTCTATCAGAATTCTTGTCCTCGATTGGACCTGTCCAGTTCGAGATACGGGATTGCTTTTTGACGGTGCCACCGTGATGCAAAGCGTGGTATTATAATACACACTTTATGTAAAAGATTAATTTTGATATCATAGCTAACTGAAAATTTGGAAATTCGTTTGTTTTAGTATTAATTGTTAATTTAGGGTATAGTAGAAAGGGAATGCATCATGAAATACTGAAAAATGAAGTTTAAGAGTGAGTCATAGTCACTGCTTGGTAAGACAATCACGTTACTTAGAGCATTTAGATTGGAGATCAGTCAATATTTACCAACTGATTTTTAGATCGGCATCTATAGACTTGCAGAGATGCGTTCTCTATGCGCTTAGTCTGCAAGCCGCTTGTAACCGATAGTCTGTATATAGTTTTTATGTCTCCCCGCTTTATGAGAGTCCAGTCCAATTTTTTTCTTCTTCGCGACACGCATTTGTTAATAAAAAGGCGTGAGTTGAGTTGCGTGATTTTACTGAAATATTAAAGCGCAGCATGTGAAACATTTGTATGAAAATATTCGTTCATTGGAGATTAGGGCTAAATTGTATTTATTGCTACAACAAAAATTGAGATGATATTGACGGCTGTTTGTGTTGAATTTTTAGTGTAGATCGTTAGCTGTTAACGACAAAATTAGATACTCAGTAAACGGAAATGTATCAGGGAAGTGTACTTCGTCTGCCCGCCCGATTATCTGTAATCTTGCATTATAGCGTATAAGGCGTGTGAGGTGTACTTATGAACGTTAAAGATGGAACAACGAAATTTTCATTATACTATTAGAGGTGGTCAAGACCAGCGTATACTTCCAAAGATGATAAACTAATTTATGAGCTTTAATGGGAAATAAAAACAATGCAAAATGAATTATCTAGAGACTTTTTCTCTCAGCCGAAGACCTATTTGTCTAGTAAAATTGTTTTTGTTAATCAGGGAATTGGAAATAAACGAGTTGAGGCTATTTTTGAATTCTGAATTGAATATTTTCTTCCCAACTTTCTGGCCCCAACAGATGTCTATGTGCGGGGGGTCCCTTTCCTATATACCTTTGCAGCTCCACAACAAACGGGCGAGAATGCCTACGGACGGACATGAGATATGTAACAAATTGTACTGCCCTTGTCTTGAATGACAAAACTAGAATACCGATATCCTTCAGCTGAGAATTAGGCAACTCTTGATAGTTTTTGAAATGAATTAAATGGACAATGATTTTTTTTTTATAGAGGCTTATAAATGTGATTATCCTGCAAAACTAAGTCTAATAAATGAATGAGAACTTCTTACACCATAATACATATTTAGAAATTGTAATTGTTTTTATAAACCATAAGTTAACTATAAATAGTTTACGGATATGGTTAGTAAAGAAAATATGTAAACGTTAGGCAATGGAAAAATAATTGTTAGAAAAACTATTTACAGAACAAATTTATGCTGATCTTGCTTGTAAATGGCTTCTCAAAGCATTATGCATAACATACATTCAGGATGCATAGACGTAAGGGAAGCGCATTAGAAAAATGTCATAAACAACATTAGCAAGAGATGTCTGGATGAACCTTATCCACATAAATGCTCAAAACTGATGATTTCATAATAAATGTTTATGTATTTCCAGTGTCCAAGTCTTAGCACTTTAGAGTGATGCTTCACTTATTCAAAAAACATGTATAAAATCTTTATGAAAAGGAACATTTTTTTAATTCATTTGTCATCGTTAACGAATGAATTATGCGATACATAAGTACTGTGGCTTTAATGTTAGTTTTGTTCCCCAACGAGAACCTGCTTGCTTATAAATCTCTTAATATTTCAAGCATGTACAAAATTATGTAAATAAGTATATGCAAGCATACGTGCCCGAGCTTGAATATAAATAACTTACTTGGCAACTACAAACTTATATGGAAATTTATGAAAGCGTAATAAAAGCGTGGTTGGAGGTTTAAAAGTTAAACATGCAAAAAAAAAAACCTAATTTACTCCTATTACATATGCTTAAAGCATTACGTTCTGATTATTCACTTGCCTTTAAATCAAATTAGTTACAGTGTTTTATTAAACATAAACGTTCAAATTTTCTCTTTATTTTATTAATTAGCGTTCATTGCCAATTCAAAAAATGCAAAGAAACCTGTCAAAGTAGTACTGGGAGAGTTCAATATGTGAATCATCTCTTCTTGTTTGTAACGAATTGTAGTAATCGTTAGTTCAAGGTATAATATTTCAGTTGTATCGGCATTTTTTTTTAGTAATAAAAGCAAAATACTGTTCAGTTTCATATAAGTGATATTACTATTATTGTAATTATTTTGGAAGGGGGAAATAAATTGCCAAACTAAAGTCTTAAAGCACTACCATCTAAGGCTATCAGCTTTATTGAAAACTCTACCGCACTTGAGATTTGAACCCACGACCATTGAGTTGCTGCTCAAGACCCTTTGTTTACTCGACCACAGATAAGGCCGATAATAATATAGTAAATAATATATAAATAAATTTACATAAACATTTATTCATTTGATAAAAATATACATTATTGAAATTGGTTTTCCGGATCACCGTTTCTTACTCTCCCAAATCGCAATCATTTGACTATAATGAATACTATGACATTACGCAATGACAACAAAAATTTGCGACCAAGGACATTTGTTTCATTGTCAGCGGACTGAACAATTTGCGTCAACATTAAGGCGAACTTTACGTTTCTACTTTGGCAAGTGTAAACATCGCTGCATGCTACAATGCACTTTTAGGTTATCACATTATGTGAGTTCTTTATGGCCCTTTGGATTCTATAATTTTATCCCATACGTAGACGTGGCCTAAGCTAAGTTAATGCCTTTTGGAAATCAAAGGAGAATGAAAAACACTTTTGCAGATTCCTTGCGGTCCAATCCCTACCTTCCTGCAAAGAATTTCTAATTCGAGTTTTATCTAGTGAATTGCAAGCGAATAAGATGGGTTTGCATCGCTTTCTAAATAAACATATTTACAATATCATCAATACTTAAAATTTTCATCTTCAAAATATTAGAAAATTTTATTTTTTTTTTCGCACGTACCGCCTGTAAAACAAAAGTTGATGTGAAAACTGTCATTGAAATTTGCCAAAGCATTTGATGAACGTGAAATTTAGAGTTCTTCAATTTTTCAAAAGAAGCAATGGAAAGACAACAAATTATATTTGCTACATACATATCTGTTGCTTGGCCTTTTCTCGTACATACAAATTTATAGGCAACCTGCAGTCCATGTTCACTTAAAAACAATTGTGTTGCTTTCGCTTTACAAACATTTACGAGAATGCAACGTCGTAAACCAAGAAACTGTTACCTATGTAGCTATTGAAGAAGAACCCGTGCGCATACTACTGATGAAAATGAAAGAGGAAGCGAACAAATAGCGGCTAACTAACAGAGTTACTGCTGTTATTGACAACAGATACACAGCAAC